CCGTTCCACCTCGGGTCGCCCATCCCTAGAGCTGGCCCGTTCCAACCTCCGCATGGTGGACACCATCCCCCGGGCCCAGGGAGTGCTCCCTGCGCCCACACTGAGCCTGCCCCCCTCACTGTCCCCCAAGATACCTCTCAGCGCCTAGGATCTGAAGGAAGGTCTAATCACGCTCCAGGTCTGGGACCCCCTTTCCCACTCAGAACCTCCAGCCTCCCCCGTGTTCTGGAGCCGCCCCCCCCTAAGGTGCCTCCCCCGTGTCCAGTTTGGCCACGACCACCAGACACTCACCCAGCTGCCCGGCTGCTGCTCGCCTAGCTCCATGGCAAAGGAAAACACCGACAGCCAGGCAGAGCCTCAGCACCCGGAGGCCGGCCTGGCCCCGGCCTCGCACCCTGATAAGCAGCCTGGGGAGGTGGGAGGGGCAGGCGGGCGGCTCCCAGATTTAAAGTGGCAGGTCAGGGCTGGTGGGGAGGTGTGCTCCTGGGGGAGGCTGGGCCACCCCTCCGTGCGGCCAGGCTCACTGCCCCCAGGGCGGCCCCAGGGGGACACTCCCTGGGCCAGGGCTTCAAGCAGCCCATCTGCCCGGAAGGAGCCTCCAGCTGCCTGAGGGAGGGGCTCTGGTCCCGGGTCTGTCTGGCTTGTCGCGAACATGCTGAACACAGCTTTCCCGCCTCACCTCTCCCCACCCAGCACCCTCACTTCATCCACAGCTGTCCCAACCTCTTCTGAAAGGGACTGCGGACAAGCCTCCTCAATTTCTTTTTGTTAATCCTCACCCGAAGCTATGTTTCCACTGATTTTTAGGGAGCGTGGAAGGGAGAGGGAGAGACTGAGAGAAACATCAATGTGAGAGAAACACATTGATGGGTTGCCTCCTGCACAAGCCCCCATCAGGGCCCGGGCCGGGGAGGAGCCTGCAAGCAAGGTACCTGCCCTTGACCAGAGTCGAACCCAGGCCAACACTCTATCCACTGAGCCACACTGGCCAGGGCAAACCTCCTCAATTCTGATTTTCCTCCGCAAACCAAATGCAGGGCCCTTGCCCCCCTTCCCGCAAGAACCCTATTCTAGTGCTCACAAGAAAGGGCAAGATCCACTGTCCCGTGCATGCCAGTGAGTGCACACGCCAGCCAGAGCCCCTCGAGCCCGGTGCCATCTGGGGGATCCCTCTCCTGTGCATGTGTGTGTGTGAGTGCACACGCCAGCCAGAGCCCCTCGAGCCCGGTGCCATCTGGGGGATCCCAGCACCCAGTGGCTTAGATGCTCTCTCTAGGACAGCTGCCCACAGCCACACCCGAACCCCAACACACACAGCACAATCACACAGGCTGTACCCCGTTCTCCTCCTCCTCCCTGCCCCCCACGTCCCAGGGGACCCTGCATGGCCAGGGTGAGCAGTTCCACACATTTAGATGTCAAAGGGCAGCAAGAAAGAAGGACCAGATGCTTTTCTAAGGAACAAGACCTGGGCCCGGCCGGTGTGGCTCAGTGGTTGAGCATCGACCTATGAACCAGGAGGTCAGGGTTCGATTCCCGGTCAGGGCACATGCCCAGCTTGCAGGCTCGATCCCCAGTGTGGGGGTGTGCGGGAGGCAGCTGTTCCAGGACTCTCTCATCATTAATGTTTCTATCCCTCTCTCTGCCTCTCTGAAATCAATAAAAATATATTTAAAAAAGAACAAGACTTGGAAAGACAGGTGCCTCGGGTTCCAATCCCAGCTCTACGAAGTGTGCGACCCGGAAAAAGCCATTTGCCCCTGGCCTTGCCTTCTCGTTAGGCCTGCTTCTCAAACTGGGAGGGCCGAGGCCTCAACCATACATGTGCTGTGTTTTCCTAGAGCAGTGGTTCTCAACCTTCTGGCCCTTTAAATACAGTTCCCCATGTTGTGACCCAACCATAACATTATTTTCGTTGCTACTTCATAACTGTAATGTTGCTACTGTTATGAATCGTCATGTAAATATCTGATATGCAGGATGGTCTTAGGCGACCCCTGTGAAAGGGTCGTTCGACCGCCAAAGGGGTCGCGACCCACAGGTTGAGAACCGCTGTCCTAGAGTTTCCATTGTTCAGCTAAACGAGGAGGTTTATGCATTAACACAAAAGCTGTGTGATGGAGTAAGTGCAAAATTAGCCTGAGTTTAAAATACAGCCTTACAGGCGTCAGAGAAAGTTCTTCAGGCACCAGCGCCTGGAGGCCAGTCCCCCGGTGCATCCGGAGGAAGCATGCGCAGCAGGCCCTGCAGCCCCCCGCCCCCCGCCCGCTGGCCTGCCCACGCGCTGGGGGACCCCGCAGGGAGGTCAGCAGCCTCCCTGGCACCTGCCCTGCTCACCAGCCTCTCCATCTCCTGCTCCCGGAGCCGCTCCTGGCGCTGCCGCCGGTGGTACTCCAGCAGGTCGTCCTCGTTGTCGCTGATCTCGGTGATGCTGTTTTTCCGCTCCCGGGGGGCCAGCACCTGCAAGTCCCCGCTGGAGAGCTTCCTCCGGGCACGGGGGCTCTGTCGGGTCACAGCCCCCGGCAAGGAGCCCAGGCTGTAGGCGGGGCTCAGCCGGCCACTGAAGCTGCCCTTGCGGGGGGCCAGGGACTCCCCGAGGGTGGGCGAGGGGCTCCGTGTCCTACGGCCCCGCGCCCCCAGTGTCAGCGAGAAGTCCTCTGGCGGAGTGCCGTGGGCTGCCCAGCGCCGGGGCCGAGGGCTCTCTGCCACGTCCCTGGTCAGCTTGGGGTCTGGGGTGGACCGCGAGGGCAGGGGGGACAGAGCCCGTCGGGACAGAGCCGGGCTCAGGGGAGGGAGCTCCCGCAGGCTGTCCAGGCCCCGGCGGCCCAGGCGGGGACTCTCAGAGGGCTGCAGGGTGCGGGGGGTCGGCCCGTCCGAGAACGTTCGGCCCACCGACTGGCGTGAGGGGCTGCTTGCCAACCCGCGCTCGGGGCCGGGCAGCTCTCGGAGAGGGCTGGGGGGGCGATCCTGGAGCACACCCATCTTGTTTCGGGGTGCAGGGACCGGAGGCTGGAACTTGGGACTGCCAGGAACGCTGGTGGGTTGGCTGTGGGCACCAGAAGTTGGGTATTCACTCAGGCTGATGGCCACCACGGGCAGCTGCCCACCCAGCCAGGGGCTCTCGGTGGCTCTGTGGGCCTCCGCCAGGACAGGAGCGGTGGGGCTGGCTGGCAGCAGACCCCGGAGGCCGGGGCTGGGGGGCCGCTCATGCCCCGCCTTCCTGCCCAGCCGGGGGCTCTCGGAGGGGCGGGCCCCACTGGGCCGGGACTGTGGGGGCTGCAAGGCCAGATGGTAACTGGAGGAGCGCACAGGCACCAGCGGGGGCACAGGAGGGGCTGGCTCCTGCCCACTGGGCGAGTGGCTGGCACAGCTCCCGCTGCTGGCTGGTGAGGAGAGTGGAGAGAAAGCCGGGGAGGTGTTCTCGTAGCTGGAGCCCACGGACATGGCGCCGGGGCTGGTCGGGGGCGACAGCAGGTAGCGACCCCCGTTAGCCATCGGTGACAGTGTGGACGCGGTAGCAGGCTTCTTGCCACCGGCGCCGGGGTCCTCGAGCACCAGGGAGTCCATGATCTCCTGCAGGTCCTTCTCAATCGAGCTCACCAGGGAACTGTGGCTGGCGTAGGCCGCGGGGCCCTGGGCTGCAGGCTGCGGGGGGTGGTTCCCGTTCACTAGGCTTTCTGACTCTGTGAGAGGGAAACGCAAGGATGCCTCAGGCCTGGCCTCGGGCTCTGGGGAGGTCCCTAAGCGCCGGAGCAAGGCATCCCCCCTCCTCTGAGCAGAGCTGAGCTGCGAAGACTCGAAGACAAGACTCGGGAGGAGAAGCTGGGAGGTCTGGGTTCCGGGCGGCTGTGCCGCTGCCCGGCTGTGCAGCCTTACCCGTCCCTGCCCGGTTCCCCTTCTGTGAGGAGGAGGACGGTAGGACGCTTCTGGCTAACACGTTATCACTTAGGACAGAGTCAGCAATGACACCAGGCACTCTAGGCTGGTCGCTGTCTACTCACCCCAAGTCTAGGTTCCTCCCTGCCTTGGTTTCCCCAACCTCCTAAATCTCTCAGCAGGAAGGGCAGGGGGACCCTCTGCAGCAGGGGTGGGGCATGCTATGGAGCTGCCGACAGTTCCAGGAGGGATCCCAGTCCAGTAAGGACCTAAGGGGCTGCAGACACGGCAGCCAGGACCCAGGAAAAAACACCCACCATGCCTCCCGTGTTGAACGGGAGGGGGGGCCGGGGGGTACTGAACGGGGGATATATGCTGCACCCCTTGGTCCAATCAGAGGCAAGGGAGGGGCTGACACTGCGGGCTGGTTCCTAGAAGCCAGGCTGACCAGCGGCTAGTGCAGCTCGGCCCTCTGATGAGCCCAGGCAGCCACACCAGCGAGAGCCCACCTGCGCCCTGCCCCAGCCCTGCTCAGCCCACCAGTGACTGGAACCACTGCCCCCAACGGCGGAGGGACTGGGCGGCGAGGCTAGGTGAGGCCGGAGAGAGCTAACCAGGGAGCGACTGGCAGCCCAGGCATCTGATTCCCTGGTTCCAGCCAAGCGGCACTTCTTGGATCTCTCCCAGTGGCCATGGCAGGTGGCAGCAAGCCCGGACCATGGGTGTTGTCCTGCCCTGACTCTGCCAGGGGCTGGGGGGGCCAGGAGGAGGACCATCCAAGGGGGGACCACCCGCCCAACCTCCTGCCCTACCTGGGCCGGGGCTGTAGGGGGGGCCCGGGGCCCGCCCCCCTGCCGGGATCATGCTTTTCATCCACTTGGCTTCAGCGGGGTGGTTGAACCGGAGGAAGGTGGACTGGCCCAGGCACAACATGCAGCCTTCGGAGAAAGAAAATGCTTGAACGGCTGGCAGCGGGGAGGCAACCCTCACCCACTAGCAGGCGCACCCCAGGCTCCAGGGAGCCACCCGCCTGCACTCAGTGTCCCCCATCCACGTCTGACGCAGCTGTGCCTGAGAAAGGCGCTGGCTGGGCCCCAGAGCACAGGGCAGAGTGGAAGGAGCACTGGTTTGCGAGTCCCCAGGCCCAAGGACTAGTCCTAACTCTTCCTCTGACAGGTGAAGTCACTTCCCGCCCCCAGGCTGGTTTTCTCTTTAGAGAAATGAGGACACGCTGACCTTGCAGAAGGGACAGTGCGTGTGCATGAAAGTGCCCTGTAAACGGAGAGGCTTCCTCAGGGAACACGGGCACCTGTGTCCCCCGAGCCGACGTGGCCAACAGTGACCCAGGCCCCTTGGGTGGAAGGGTAAGCTGAGAGGCAGCCACTTCCAGGATCACAAAAAACTCCGAGCAGGAGACGGGGAGGAACTGTGATGCCCCCTCAGGGGCCAGAATTTGCCTGAGATTCAACCAGTGGGCGTGGCCTCACCCTTTCCCTCTGACAATGCACCCTCTGACCTGACACCCTCCTGGAACGTAGCCCTGCCTCAGCCCAGGGGCCCAGCCTCCCCACGCACATCCCCAGGCGGTAAGCACAAGCCCAGTCCTGCTCAGGAAGGGAGTGCGTGGAAGGGGAGGGCACGCAGGAGCCAGAAAACGTCGCCAGGGGCTGGGGTGTGTGCCCGGCGGCAGGTGTGCCTGCCGTGCCTGAGCCTGTGGCAGAGCCCTGCTCCTGGCCATGCAGGTGCCAGAGGGACCTGGTGCTCCTATCACCCACCCTTCCAAATTGTTCACACCCCTGGCCCTGGCCCCAGCCGCCTATCTGTCCAATCTGGTGCCACTTGGCACCCCAAGCTTCATGCCAGTCTGAGCCGAGAATGGCAGGGAAATCGACATTCCTAGACGTTGAGACAGTGCAGGCCACGAGGTCATGGGGCATCCCAGGCCACGGGAGCACCTTAGCAGACCCCCCACTGAGAAGCATGTTGCTGGAACCCAGGGCACTGCCTGGGGGATGGGGAGACCTCGCAGACTGAGAGGCCCAGAGCAGATAACCATAGTGGACAAAGCCACCCCCTTCTCTGGCACACCCACAGGCCCTCCAGGCAGATGGGCACCAGCCATTCTCAAGGCTAATGGGTGATTGGAGGGGGAGCCTTCTTGCCAAGCCACCAATCAGAGGAGCTGACCCCAGAGTAATCATAACGGGAATATATAACAGCCAGCTATCCACCCACTACTGACACCGCAGCTGTTTCAGAAACGGCCCTGCCAGGCCCCCCCGCCAGCCAGTGCTCAGGGTCTACAGGCCCACTCACTCCTAGACTGACTGCCCACCAGTGCCCGGCCCACCCACGAGGCTGTGGGCACCTAGGGACCCTCAGCCCCGCCCCTCTGCCCCGCACCCTCCTCCACGCAGGGGGTGTGGCTGTGCTGCCTCTGGACTATAAATAGGCGATGCCAGGCAGCAGAGCTGGGTCTGTATTAATAGATGAGCAGGAGGGCAGCAGGACTGAGGGCAGCCCAGCTCCTGCCCAAATTAACTTTCTATTTGCACTCAGGGGCCCCGGTAGTTGCCTCAACTTCAGTCCTAAGCCCGGGCTCGGCCAGCCTGTGTCTGGGGAGAACCCTCCTCTCTGCCTTCCTGGCCGCACCTCCAAGGCCAGCCCACCCAGGAAGCCCAAAAACCCACGCATCCAGGCAAAGCTGTGGCCGGGGCCCCATCCCCAAAGGCTCAGGGCCCAGTGCTGTGCAGGGGGGAGAGCGGGGGGGGGGGGGGGGGGGCAAAAGAGAAGGGTGGGGTCTCTCTCTCTGAGGCGATGCAAAAGGGAAAATTTCAAGAGACCTCTCTCAGGGTTCACCTCTCCTTCCAAGGGGGCACCCCTCTGCCCTGTGTGCCACAAGGTTTGAATGGAGGCCCCCCCAGGGGGAGTTCTGGCCCAAGAAAGATAGAAAGAGGGACTCTTTTCTCTCTCTCTCAGAGAACCTCTGGCACAGGGGTGGCCCTCATCTGTATCTTAGCTCTAGAGGGGGGCCCCTGCCCTCCGTGGGGGGGGGTAGCGTCGAAATTTCTCTCAAAAAAATGTGGGC